CTTGCCCTCAGGGCGCGGCTCCTTCGGGGCTGGCCGGGCTGGAGCATGAAGCCCCTGCAAGTCCCGCCTGTGCGCCCTGTGCTATCCCCTCCCTCCCAGATCCTGTTCCTGGACCTCAGCACCGGGGCTGTCCTGTGGAACCAGGCCCTCCCGAGCCTCCCCGGGGATCCGCAGTCCGCCAGCCTGCCAACCGCAGACCACCGCTCTGCCTTCTTCTTCTGGGGCCTCCACGAACTAGCAGGCACCAACCAGACAGTACGGGCAGGGCAAACGCCCATGCCGGGGCCAGAGACCAGAGGCTAGCCATGGGTCCTGCCTTGAGGCTCCTGAGAGCTAACTGGGTGACTGGGGGTGCACACATCTTAGAAGCCATAGGACAGCAGGTGGGATGAGGCACCCTGGACCACAAGGGAGGCTGGGGATCTGGGAAGAAGTGGGGGTCAGTGGGGGAGGGCAGGTGCAGAATTCCAGGTGGAACGTGCGTGATAAGGGTCCGGGTAGGGGAAAGGAGGAGAAGGTGGACTCACAGTTGGGATCCCGTGGACACAGCCAGCCCGGTGTCCTGAGCGGGCACGCACAGCCTGGCCCCAGCCCTGGGCCTGGGCACGTGGGTGTAGGGTCTGGGGCGAGCGTGGTGCACCGTGTGCCCCACCACACGTTCCTGCTCCAGGAGCCCGGAGACACCCGGCACAGCCTCTACATGTTCCACCCGACCCTGCCTGGCGTCCTGCTGGAGCTGGCCAACGTCTCTGCCCACATCGTGGCCTTCCAAGGTGAGTGTGGCTCCCGGGCGCTAGGGCTCCAACGGCCATCTGGCCGGTCCCAGCGCCCTGACCGCCCACGTCTCCCACAGCCGTCCTGTTCGAGCCGAGCCGCCATGCTGCCTGCGTCCTGCTGACAGGCCCCGCGAGCCCAGACACGCCTGGCACGGTCTCCGTGGCCAAGCACAAGGTGCGGGACCTGGTCCCGAGTAGCAGGGTGGTTCGGCTGGCTGAGGGCGGGCCCGACAGTGACCAGGCTGTCCGGGACCGGTTCTCCCGCCTGCGGTACCGGAGTGAGGCCTAGAGGCCCGTGGGCCACACACGTGGAGGGCTGCCAGCATGGGACGTCAGATCTGGCGTTGGTTGCACTGATTCCCTACTCCTGACCCCGGGGTCCCCGTCCTACGCAGGGACGTGTATGGGTGAGCGGATGCCCGGGCCTCGCCCCTCTCCTGCGCAGCACATCCCCACAGGTCCTCACTCTGCCCCACTGGGGTCACACTCAAGGCCACCTGTCCTCATCGCAGTGTCCCTGGGCCCTATGGCACCAGCCTCACCGCATCCACACCCAGCGGGAGGGACTGTGGCTTTGGGAAGAGCGCCCAGTCCTGAGAAGTCCCCTCGCTCATTCCTGTCTGCACATTCCCCGGGGCCTGCGAGGTGGCTGGCCTGGGGTGGCCTCGGGGCAGCAGCTAGAGCTCCTGGCCTGGCCCAGAGCAAGGAGGGGGCACCCTGTACTGGGCAGTGGACGCTTGCCCTAGGGTTCCCCTTTGATACCCGTGAGGAGGGGGGCTGCCGTGCAACTGCGAGGCTGTCCTGCTGCTCACGGGTGCCCCCAGGGCGTCTCCGTCCTGTGTTGGCTGCGTGTGCTGTCCTGAGGAACTGGGCGGAGGGCACTCGGGGTCCGCGTGCACCCCGTCCGTACACACTGGAGCTGCTTATCCCACGGGGGTCCCCACACCCTCGGCCCGTGCCTGGCCTTCTCCTGGTGCTCGGACGCCCCAGCAGTCGGTGTCCCGTGATGCAGGACTCACCTTTGTGCCTTGCTGTGGTGCTCTGTGTGTCTCACTGTGCCCTGACGACCCCAGGTACCGCAGGAGGAAACCAGAATAAACGGTTCGCACTGTCTGAAAGGGCACACGTGTGCCTCGTGTGCCTGCGCCGCAGGGGGAAGGGGACGTGGTGTTGGCCGGGCTTCTGGAAGAGGTGGGGGACCCTCTACCCGCCCAGTCAGAAATGGGGCCCCTAGGACTTCCTGCACGGCTTCTGAGTGCAGCTCGGGTTTAAGGATCCCTCCGTGGTCACCCTGGTTCAAGTCAGGGACCCGGCGTGGGGACACGAGTGCACTCCCTCGGGACAGGCAGGGGTCCCTGAGCACCCGTGTCCTCCAAGGGCAGCTGCAGGCGGCAGGAGTCTGGCCAGTGGCAGAGGGTGGTGCTTTGGGGAGACAGAGCTTTGGGACCCCCATGCGGAGGCTGGTGGTGTAGGGAGGCCCCCCGAACTACCTGTGCCTCTGGACGGGAGAAGCCGGTCTCCCAGCTGCACAGACGCCTGCGGCTGGGGAGCCCTCTGCCAGGTGCAGGACCCCGGTTGCTGTGGAAGCTGCTGCCCGGCCCACGGCGTCGGACCAGCAGGACTGCGGCAGCGCCCCTCGGCCTCCCAGGGCCCACCCTGCAGGTCCTGAGACCACAGGCCGGAGCTCGAGCGGCGCCTGGGAGACGCCGCGCTGCTGGGCACTGTACAGCCCGGACCTGCGGACGCGGCAGCCGTCCTGCGGCCCCTCCACGTCTCTGCTCCCGGCCGGGCTTGCTGCGCCCCAGGCCTCAGTTGGCCAGGCACGCTGTGCTGAATGCCGGAGTCTCCTGTCTCCCGGGACCTCCCGGGACTCCGTGTCCAGACTCCCCTGGAGCACCCCTGTCCGGCCGGAGCGCAGACGACGTTGCCCGCCGTCTCCTCTGAAGACCGCCGGGGCTGCAGCCCCAGTCCAGCCTGGACGTTGGGTCCCTCCTCTGCCGTGGACCCACCACATGACACTCTCCGTGACCCGCGCCTCAGATTCCCCAACTTCCCCCAGTGTCTGCCACCACTGCCCAGCTCGCACATGCCTCACACCGCGTGACCGCGTGGCTCGCACACCTCCTGCCTCACGCCTACCGTGTGCCTCACATGCACACCGTGTGCCTCACACACCGCCTGCCTCACGCCTACCGTGTGCCTCACATGCACACCGTGTGCCTCACACACCGCCTGCCTCACGCCTGCCACATGCCTCTCACACCACACACGCCTCATGTGCCTCTCGCAGCACAACACACGCCTCACTCGTGCATACCACTGCAACCACAATCCACAATTCGGACAACAGGGTGGACTCAAGAGTGAGGGCCAAGGGTCTTTTATTTCCCGGTCGGGTATGGGTGGGAGTAGGATGGGTGCCTCCCCCGGCCTGACAAGAGCTGCACCCCAAGAGACCAGCTACACCTCCCCCCGGGTCTGGCATGCCCCCTTTCCCCAAGGAGTCCACCTGCCCTGGCGCGGTCCTGTCCTGGCTGTGAACAGGGACCGGCTGTCCCAGGTGATGCACTGGAGTCAGCTCTGCCTCACACGCGAGGCTCCAGGGGAGCCCCAGCCTCGAGGACACCCACTGGAGGTGTCCCTGTGGGAGGAGGTCTGGGACGTGCACAATGATGGCCACAGTGTGGGCAAGACCCATGAGGGCGGGCTAGAAGGCTGAGCATGGCTCCAGCGGAACTGGGGCTGTGCTGTGGGGTCCCCGCAGGATCACGCCGGGCAGAATGCCATGGGCCCATCTGCCCAACAGTGTCACCTCCAGCAGGAGGCCGCCTGCCACCCGCCGGCGGACCGCAGAATGCCAGCGGCTTCATGTGGCCGGCCCTGCTTGGCCCCCCTCATCCTCCCTTCGTCCAGGTGACCTGAGCTCAGGGACACCTCTTCCCAGGAATCAGCCCCTGGACCAGCCCCTTCTGGGGAGGAGAAGGCTTGACAAGGGAGACGGTGAGAGCCCAAGAGCCCCATGGGCACGGGGGCAAGGCCGGGCCCTCTGGGCACTAGGGGATGCCCATGCCAAGGGTCTCGAGAGCTGCCAGGACCCCAGGCCAGCAGTGAGGATGGCCACTTCCCTCTCCTGCAATCTGCCCACCTAGGTGCCCCCGTCACCACACTCAGGGCCACTGGCCGCGGTCACAGGCTCCCCAGAGTGGGAGGCAGGAAGGAGAGCAGGGCTGGGGTTTGCATGCGGCGGTTTACGCATAAACGGGAACACCCTGTGGACGAGAGGGGACCTGAGCACGGGGCGGCCGTGAGGGTCCCGCGCACTTCACTGCCCAGGCACAGGGCACAGCCAGGCTCACCGTCTCTTGGCCTCTGGGGGAACCACGGCTTCTGCCAGCAGGTCTCTGTAGGCGGCGGACTTCAGGAACCTCGGGTAGGAGTCCTGCGAGAGAGGGTATTCCGCCAGCTTCCGCTGGGCTCCCACCTGGCACTGCTGGGCCCCTGCCAGCCCCAGAGCACCCCCAGGGGACGGCGCTGGAGGCAGCCGTCCCAGACCTGCCCCAACCTAGTCAGACAGATGCAGGGACACCTGTGACTCCGGGCCGGTGGCCCATTAACCGCAGAAGGTAGGCGCGGGCCTGGCACCCACGCACAGAGGACTGAACTACGGGACCCCAAGCAGGAAACCCCAAGGAGGGCCTCCCCGGGTTCTCGATGCACCCGCAAGTGGGAGGGCAAGGAAACGGAGCAAAATAAAACACAAGGTTGAGGGGCACCTGGTGGCTCAGCGGGTTAAAGCCTCTGCCTTTGGCTCAGGTCATGATCTCAGGGTCCTGGTCCTGGGATCGAGCCCCGCATCGGGCTCTCTGCTCAGCGGGGAGCCTGCTCCCCCCCCCTTCTCTGCCTGCCTCTCTGCCTGCTTGTGATCTCCGTTGGTCAAATAAATAAATAAAATCTTTAAAAAAAAAAAAAAGGGTAACAATCATTTAAAAAAAAAAAAAAAACAAGGTCAAGAAAAACCATATGGTATCCAATAAAGAGAAAGCCGTGAACCTCCTTGTTTATATTTTTTAAAAAATACAAATTTTAAACAGTTAATTTCAGTAGGAAGACGAAGGAAGACTGGGACAGAACTAGATGTATTTGAAATGTACCTTCTTTATAGATTGGATTTTAGACCTGTGTAGATGCTTCACATAATCACAAAAGGAAACAACGAACCATCAGTTCCTGAACATGGAAGGTAAAGCAGGACGAGCGTGTATCCGGGCGGTGACACCACCCTGAGCACAGGTAAGGCAGCGGAGCCATCCACAGGGCATCCCCAGGAGGGGACACACACGGGACCCGGCGAAGCACGTAACCATCGTGCGCGGGTTTACGGCGCACGGGAGCGTGGGGTCGTCCGGCCAGGACACCGGGGGAGAGGGAGGAGAGCGAGTGCGTCACTACACCCACGCTGCTGGGAACCAAGACGTCCAGTAGGTTAGTGAAAAGACGACGGAAGTCTGCGCCCGGGAGCTCTGCACGCCTGAATCTGAATGAGCCGTGCCCGTGGGAGCCCGTGTTCAACCGAGAACCCTGTACTTCTGGTTCTGTTCACTGAAGCGCCTGGACGCCATCCGGGTGACCGCGAATACGCCCAGCAGGTCGAGATTTCTAAAGAGCCTAGAAGAGGGGCCAGGGCCGCCCGTGGGAACGGCGCAGGGAGGCCTGGGCAAGCCACTGCAGGTCTCGGAACACATCAAGAGCCTCGAGAGCCAACGGGGGTCGGGGGTGGGGGGCTCCGCACAGCAAGGCAGAGGAAGAACCACGGTGAAAAAACCACCATCCGGCGAGAGCGTGGATGGACCGTGGTGTGAAAACCACCTCCCACTCGCTGACCCCCTGGCAGGTGGGGCGACTCCAAGTCACGACTGAAAAGTGGAGAAGGAATCAGGCGTTGACTGTGCCTCCCCTGGGGGACCGTGGGCAAGGCGCAGGTGAGGGGACACGCCTCCGCGACGCACGCCAGCTCACCAACAGAGGCAGGGGCAGCAGCTCCTCACCCGGGCCAGCCACCGTCGGGCGGTTCGCGTCCCTAAACGGGGGGCGGCCGGGCCCCACGTACGTCCTGATGAGGAGGACATGCCAAACACCACCTCTGAAGAAACCGAAGACGGTACAACTAACAGTGAGCCTGATCGTCTGAGACATCACCACCCACGTCCAGGAAGCGAGGCCACAGAGTCCCTCCAGAGACACGGCAAGAGCCCCACTGGTAGGACCCAGATGTGAGGCATGACAGGACAAAGGGCGGCCTAAAGTCCAAGGGGCCAGCAGGACGACCAGAGGGACCGGCTGCACAGGCTACGCTACTGGCAACAGGGCCTCAGGAGTGGCCGCTCACCGAGGAGCAGCGTCCCCAGCAGCCGGGAAGGGCAGGGAACGTGACCGGCCCCCCAGAGCCTCCAGACGGAGCCAGCACACCCACACCATGACCTTCGCCCCAGGAGACCCGGCGGGGACGCCTGACCGGCACGCTGTGACGGAACCAGATGGTGCTGTCCTAAGGCCCTGGGTTTGTGGTGACATGTTACAGGGACGATCGGACGCCAAGCAGAGACTGTTCAGACCCCAACCAGCTCTTCGAGGACATGAACCAAATACCCTGTGTTCAGTGTGTGATGCTGACACCTGGGTCCCGCTGGAAGGGGAAGGACAGGTCCGTGTCCTTTAGGGGATCCTGACCACACACAGAGACAGTAAGTCTGAAAATGGCACAAGAGTCACGGGGTGGGGGGCAGCAGGCAGGGATGGATGAGGGGTCCGGACGGGCCCCAAGCTGACCGGTTCGGAAGTCAGGCAGCAGGATTCACCATGTCACTGTGTCTGCTTTACATCTGGAATCTTCCACCTTACGACACATAAAAATCAGAAGCAGACCTCTCGGTCGGCCCGTAGGACCTCAGTCTGCAGGTGTCCGCTCGACGGCAGCTGGGGTCAGGGAGCAGGGCTCCGGCGGCCGCGCCTCGCTCACCTTCTTCATCAGCATGTAGATGTGCAGCTGGGCCTCGTCCAGCACGTAGCGGTGGGGCTGCCGCAGGCCCTCCAGGGTCCGCTCCATCGTCCGACTGTCGATGTTGACCCAGCGGGCAGCACCGGGGGCCAGGAACTGCCTGTGTCGGCGCAACGGGGGCGTGCGAGGAGACAGGCCCGAGGCTGCGGGCCCCGCACACCCGCCATCCCCGCCCCGCAGCACTCACTGGTATATGGCATCCACCGCGGCGCGGACCTGGGCCTGCTCTCCGTGGCGCAGCCCCTCGCACGCCTCCCAGAAGCTGAGGTTCTCAGCTGGAAGGCCACGAGCCCAGTGAGGCCCACCCGAGCGGTGGCCGGGCCTGGCAGAAACCCGGAGGGGCCTCGAGCAGGGCACAGCGCTTCTCACCACTGAACTCGGTCCCGAGGAAGTCCATGAAATGGCCTCGTCCCACAGGATCTTCCAAGAGCTCCTGGAAGCTGAAAGCCCATCGCTCCACACGGAGCTTCGTGGGCACAGCCACACTGTGGGGACAGGCGGGGGCTGGTGAGGAGCACAAGGACTGCGCCGGCGGGACGGCGGGGCCCCCTGGCCCCCACCCCCTGGGCTCACCTGGGTGCATTGAAGGTCCAGTAGCTGTCATCGTCCGTGACCCAGGGGTTGCTGGGCAGGCAGCCTGACATCATGGGGTCGTGCGGCCCACGCTGGCTGCTGAACTTCAGGTACCTGGGGGTGGAGGGCCGTGCCGGGGCCAGTGCTGGGGGAGACTGTGGGGACCAGGGCCCTAGAGGGAGGGTCTGCACTCCGGGCCCCCCAGCCCACTCACGCCTCCAGGCAGACAGACGACTTCACCCGGGCCCTGGTCAGGGCCTTCCTGCAGCGCTCCATCTAGGACGTGAGAACCATGAGGTGGGGCCCGGGCTGGGGATCAGCCAGCCCAGGCCCCTCCCTCTCACCCACCCCCAGAACTTACCTCCTGCTTGTAGAACTCTGTGTTCTTGGTCTGGAAGGGGCCAAAGGGGCTGTAGTTAGAAGGTGGGCCCTGTGGGGATCGACAACCCACCCTGGGCTCATGAGTCCATCTTTGGGCTGGTGGAGAACGGCTCAAGCCCCCTGTCTTGCCCCGTGAAGACCCCTCCTCTAATGGAGGGTCTGGCTTTCCAAGAAGCATCTGGGGCTTCTAGATAAGGTTTCCAGAATGTCCCATGGAGCCCACAGGTTGTCGAAGTCACCTTATAGTCCCCAATTGTCCCTACTTCCTATTTTTCTAATGTATCTAGGTCATTTTTTTTTAAAACCAGCAGGTACATGAGAGATCCAGCCGCAGGATCACAGTGGGGGACTCCATCTTGCTAACTCGCGCTCAAAGTCATCCCATCATGTTCAGAGCTCAGAGCCTGCCTGCCACAACCTCAGGGCCAGGTGGACGGGCTGGCCCTGCCCAACACCCACACAACCGTCAGGATGCCTGGGATGCCCAGTGCTGGTCTTGGCTCTCTTTGGCCGACCTTATCATGAGGACATTCCAAACCCGTGACCGTGAACTACAACTTCAAAGGAAAAGTTTTATCTGTAAGGCACCGGGTATTGTATATTTTGCGCTTTGTGAGACTGGAACAGAGACCTGCTACCAGGTCTGAACACGTCTGTCCAGAGGCCATCGGAGGCCTTGGAGGGAGGTGGCTGGCTCAGCCCAGGCCCCTCAGGCCCATCCATGGCTCTGCGGGGTATGTCTCCAACGCCCCGAGACCCTGAGGCTATCCCAGCCAGGGAAGAGCTCCCACCCTTCCCAGAGCCCCATCAGACTTACAGGCACCCACCGTAGCAGGTTGGGGAGACAAGAGGTGAGGGTTAGCAGAGACCTGGAAGCGGGGGCGCAGGCAAGGACGCATGATGCCAGGAGCAGAGCAGGGCCTCTGGGTGTCAGGGTCAGGCGCTATTGGGACGGAGGGTTGGGCAGCCCCCGCATAGGGTGGGGAGACATGTATGCAGGGGTGGAGGGGTGCGGCCTGGGGACATGTGGGCAGGGCCTCACCATCTGCACTCCCCCAGCAGTGCAGGAGCTGCGCTCTGGACCCTGCTCCAGGACACTGGGGACACCCGGCTGCAGAGGAAGGTCGAGATGTGGTGGGGTTCCAACCCAGGTGGGCTGCCGAGACCCACCTCAGCCTTGGGTTTCTGCCCCCGGATCCCCCATCAACTCTGCACCCATACGTCATTCTGTAACGTGGAAACCAGCCATCGGAGAAGGGCAGAGTCTGAGCCCCCTCCCTACCCGTCCCACCCCCACGGGGACCTCCCCTCAGGCCAGCTCACCTCCCCGCTGTGCTCCTGACTGCTCACACCACAAGCCAAACCATCCCTCTTCTTTCTTCTTTAAAGTAGGCTGGACGCCCAGTGGGGCTCCAACTCATGACCGGAGACCCAGAGCTACACTCTCCTAACCGTGCCGGCCAGGCACCCCTCTCACCGCCCGTCTTGGGGCAGTCATGTGCCCCGCAGCTGGCCATCCCGTCCTCCAACACGTGTGCTGGGCTGGCCCCCCCTCAAGGACGGCCCTTATGCCTGCTGACCCAGAGGCTCCAGCTGCCATTCCCAGGGCCCTCCACTTGGACCCTCAGCCACAGACAGCCTGGGGGCCACGTCCACTCCACCCTCCTGCCCCCGCACCCCCCACCTAGCGCTCAGGCGGAAGATGACCCATCACTTTCCCAGAGACAGCCTCACCCTAACCCACACCTACACAACCCACGTGAGCTACTGGGCCCATGCGGGGCTCGCTCTTTTCTTCCCCGTGGATTTATCCCACAGGAACTTCCCCTCGTGGTAGCTGGGACTGCCCCACAGCCCCACGCAGCAGGGGGACTGCAAACCTCCCGCCCAGACCATAGTTCTGGGGAAGGCCTAACTGCAGGCCAGCACCCCCAGGAGTTCCTGGCCTGTGACCCCAGCCCCTCAGTGCTGTCAATAAGCCTGGCCCCACTTTGCCCCCGCCCTTACACCTCAAAGAAACTGGTTTCTTGGGGCGCCTGGGTGGCTCAGTGGGTTAAAGCCTCTGCCTTCCACTCAGGTCATGGTCTCAGGGTCCTGGGATCGGGCCCTGCATCGGGCTCTCTGCTCAGCAGGGAGCCTGCTTCCCCCTCTCTCTCTGCCTGCCTCTCTGCCTGCTTGTGATCTCTGTCAAATAAGTAAATAAAAATCTTAAAAAAAAAAAAAAAGGAAAGAAAGAAACTGGTTTCCTGTGGTGTGTAGACTGGCCCTGTGATTGGTTCTGATGGGTCCCAGAACTATAACTTTCTGCTGGGACCCCGAAAGCCACATCCTTACCACAGGCTCAAACTGTGGGTCCAGAGAGAACACGCGAGGGAAGCACACGGACTCCCAGCAAGACCCCACTGCTGTATGAGGACCACCCCCCCGACACACACACACACACAAGGGGGCTCACCGGGGGCCTGTTCACCAGCCAGTACGTCTGCTCCTGGCACGCAATGACCAGCCTGTCCCCCTTCCTGCGCTGCTTAGCTGCCCTGGGGATGGAGGTGGAGGTGGCGGGCCATGGCGCCCACAACAGCCTCTCCCACACCGCCCCCACCCTCAGGCCGAGCCGGGTGGGCAGCCAAGCCTGGGCAGTGCCCCCTGGGCGCAAGCAGGGCAAGCTCTTACCGCAGCTGCTCCCGAGCCTGCATCACCACCAGGTCCCACGTGTGGTTGATCTTCCTGTGCAGCTGGTCATAGTGTTCCTGGGGGATGTCGAGGGCGCCAGTGGGTAACCCTTCCCGTGCCCAGCTCAGGGGCGCAGACCAACCACCTCCCCACGGAGACATCTACGGATGACGTTTGTGTGTCTGCACTCTCCTGGGGCCTGGGCTGTGTGCTCCAGGGCAAACCGGGAGGCCCCGGGGCCAAGGGCAGGTCTTGGGTCCTCGGGCTAGACTCAGCAGGGGGCGGGGGGACCCACCTTCTCGTGCCCGACCAGGGCCCCCTGCTTTCGGATGTTCTTCTTTGTCAGGTAGATGGCTGGAAGGACAAGGGGCCAGGCTGTAGGGGAGACCTCTCTGCCCCTTGTCTCTCGTGGCATCACTCGGGAGGGATGGCAGCAAGGCTAGGAACTTGTCCCAGGTTAGCCCACTCCTCCACACTCACCATAGTCCAGCTCAGCAGCTGGCCACACGGTACTCGTCCAGAAATAGGGTGTCTGGTATGGTGCAGGAACAGGGCATCTGGGACCTCCGGGGCCTTCCCCTCCCCAGCTGTGACCACCTTCCCCTATCCCTCGGGAAGGGACTGGGCTGGCCAGATGGTGCCTCAGAACCTGCCTGGAGACTCACAGACCACTGGCCATTTTCCCCAGCTGGAACCTTGCTCCACTCACTCCCTGGGGTCCGGGGCAGGCACTGCTTCCTTGACTGGCCTCCCAGAGTCCCTGCTGCCTGGTGGGGTGGACAGGGCCTGCCCAAGCCACACATGTACTCAGTCTGTGCTGAAGACTGTGGGTGAGGACTGAGAGCAAAGCCTGCCTGGATCCCTGTTGTGGCCGCGGAGGCTGGGCAGGGGAGTTCCACGTGACTGGGGTTACACACCGATATGCAAGGACCCTGTCCTCAGGCCCCACACTGGCTCCTTCATGAGCCAGGGCTTAAGGACCCTCAGGGAAACCACCAGAATCCTCCCCAGGTACTACACCCTTTATGGGGTACCTTCCAGGACTCGTGGGGAGGGGCGGTGGACCCAGGCCTGCGGTGACATCACCGCTTCCTCCTCCAATCCCAGTCCCCCCTCCCATGAGTCCCCTCTGTCTGGGCTGTTAGTCTGGGGCTCCCACTTGCTCCCAGCGGCACCTGACCTGAAATCTGTAGGGCGTGTCGTCGGGCCGGAGCACGAGGCTGCGGGGCTCACGCAGAGAGTACAGATATCCGTGCTGCACTAGCAGAGTGCCCAGGTGCAGGGCCTCTGCAGGGGAGGGGCACAGGGAGGCGGGCTCTCAGCCTCGAGAACCAAACTCCCCAGCGCACCTGGCTTGCCCTGACACCTGTGAGCCCTGACGAGGCCCAGCCGAGGCCATCAGCACAGCGACCCCAGGGCAGGGGGCAGCGGGCAGGGCGAGCAAGGGGCTGACCCCTTACCCTCCTCTGAGATGCAGTACTTCCGGATCAGCCACGCCACGACGTCGCCGCCTGCACAGCAGAGATTGGCACGGGGCAGGGGTGGGCCGCGGCGGGGCGGGGGTGGGCCGCGGCGCGGCGCCCACCAACCCCGGCCCGGCGGCGCCTCACCTGCCGCGGTGTGCGGGATGACGGTGATGAACAGACGCTGGCTCCGCGTCTTCACGCCCTGGTCGGGGTCCTGCATGCTCACGACCACCCGCTCCATCTGGGCGAGGGGGCACCGGGGGGCGCTGCTCCGGAAGGGCTCCCCCACCCCCAGACCCGACTCCCCACAACGGGATCAGGGAGCTCAGGGAAGATTACCGCGCCACGGCGGATTTGGGGCCGCTGCGGGCAGCGGGGGCGGGGGGAGGGGAGAAGGACAGGGCCACGCCCCCCGCGCCCCCTCCCGCGGCTCGACGCCCCGCCCCGCCGCACACAGCGCCGCGCCCCCAGCCCCGCGACCACACTCGTGCACGCCCGCACCACCTCTGTCCCGCCGCTCCCCGCCCCGCATGCCGGGAAACCCGGGGAGCGGGGGGCGGGACCCCCACCTGGCACCCACCTTGCTGAGATGCGGCAGCTGCGCACCCTGCCGTCCACCGGCCATGGCTGCCGAGCGCCAGATGGCGCGGGGGGGGGGAGCCCTCCCTGCCCGCGCGCCCGCACGCCCCGCCCAATCCCCGCCCCCGACTTCACGCCCCGCCCCGTCGCCCGGCCGCGGCCCCGCCCCCGGCCGCACGCCCCGCCCCCCGCCCCTCGCCGGGCGAGGTGGGCTCCCCCACCCCTGACCCTCGGCGGCCTTAGCCTCCGCGCCCGCACGGCCTGGCTCTGGGGTCTGGGAGGGTCTCCCCCCCACCCGTCAGGGGACACCGAGGCCCATGTCCGTGGGAGGGGCCCGCCCCGGATGCTGCGGGCACTGTGAGGGAATCGGGCTCAGCGGGCACGGGTGGGGGTGCTCAGAGACGGGAGGGTCTCGAGGAGAGGCTCCTGTGGGGCAGGTGGGGTCGGGGGCAGCCGTGTAGGGTCCGCTGCTGCCTCGCACAGCCAGCCCACGGGGGCCCCTCGGGATGCGGCAACACTGGCGGCGGGGCGGGGCGGCGGGGTCAGGGCGAGGGGTCAGTCGGCCCCAGGAGTGTGTCCGCGACGGGGCACCGCACGGCACAGCACGTCAGTGCCTCCAGGCTGCTGCGACACCGGACTGCTGCGCGGGTTGCTGGCTGGGGGTCCATGGAGGCCTGCGGGAAGGCGGTGGGGCGGAAAGCTCACTGCCCCACCCCTGCGCGGAGACCTGGGCAGGACTGCAGGGGACCGGGCAGAGACACGACAGATGCAGGAGTTCAGAGACTGTGGGAGAGGAGCTTTACTGCAGGGGGGGTCCCAGCTCCCAGTCCCCACGTCCCACACACTCGGGGAGCACCTGCAGCTTCCAGGCTCAGGGCCCAGTTCCGGGCCTTTCTTCACCTGCTCCAGCAGCTCGGCCACCACCAACCCAGAGCCCTGTTGCTGCCTTATTTTTATTTATTTACTTATTCATTTGAGAGCCAGCCAGAAAGAGCATGAGCGGGCAGAGGACAGGGAGAAGCCGGAGACCCACTGAGAGGCAGCCCCCAAAACACAATCTCTATCCCAAGACCCTGAGATCATGACCTGAGTCAAAGGCAGCTGATTCACCGACTCCACCCGCCAGGTGCCCCTATTTTTAAGAAGTTCTAAAAGGTCTGTTTCTGCTCTTTTGAAGATAGAGTCCCCCTCCTCCCTCATGGGGTGCTGGGGACAGGGCAGGATAATTGGGATTGGCCTTTGGCCTACAGCCTTACACTGATCCATTTCCAGTGCTGACAAGGCCAGGTCCAGGATGAGCTCGGGCAGGGGTAAGGGGGGGGGACGGCTACCAGGGTACCCTCCTCCCTTAGATCCCAGTGAATTCCCAACTATCCCCACCACATAGGTACGGGTCCGGCTGGTCCCAGGCCTGACTGTCCTTTCTGGATGGTTGGCTATCTACAGAAGCTGTATGGCCACCAGAGGCCATAGCTGTCCCCAGCCTCGACAAGTGGCTTCCCTGACCACCCCCAACCCCAGGGAAAGAGCAGCAGAAACGGGACCCCAGAATGGCCTGGGTCTCAGCTGGGCGAATCCTGCCCTGGGAAAGATTGTGGAGAGGTGGAACTCCAAGGGGGATAGTCTCCACACAAGCCTACATGTCCCCTAGCACCCATGCCCCTCCTCTGCAGAAATTTTGGGGGTGCAGGTGGGAGAATCAGAACGTGGTCCCCTGACTGGTCTCTGGTGGGAGAAGGGGGGCTTTGTCCAGGCTAGACACTCAGGGGCAAAGGAGCCAAGAGTGGACAGGATTCTGTTTGTGAAACCAGGGTGGCAGGCGGATCCTCTCCCTTTTGTTTCAGGCAAAGGTGGGTATGATGCCGGGGTGTCCTCAAAAATTAGGGGGGCAGCAGAAGGGGTATCCAAAAGAAGGGAGGACTTGGGCTGGAGTTCTGCCTCCCCCATCCCCTCCACTCACACCTATGAGCTTTCCCCAGCCTGACGCCCAGCTCCCCGTTCCCTGCACCGGCTGCCCCCATCTGCCCACCCCAGGGTTGTTTAGGCATCAAGACCAGAAGCACCCTGTGTGCCCCTCTCTCAGCCCTCCACCCCCAGGATTCTGCTTTGGATCAGCGCCCTTTCCTCCTCAAGGGCAGGGGGCTTCATTACGGTCTGGGCTCTGGGCGCTTGCTCCGGCAGCTCAGTCCATAAACGGTATGGCCATGGCTGTGTGACTCCATGTTGCCTCTCACTGTGAGGGTGGGACCCTGGCCTCTGGGTGGGTGGACACAGGTCCCTCCGTGCGAACGCCTCTGGGACGCGCACTCCCCCGCCCCGCGCCTCCCCCAGCTGCCGGGGCTGGGCAGGCTCCAGGACAGCCCTCTGCCCAGACAGACGATCGGGTGGGGGCGGGGAGGGAGGGGAAACCGTGAAGCCCCAGGTGCGGCCTGTACCGCCTGCAGGTAACGAGAGCCCAGGGGCCTGGGGGAGGCGGGGAGCACCTGCTCCACTGGGCGCCCCCGGCCCCACCCGCCCCTCCCAGAGGGCTTCCCCGAGAATCCCCCAGACTCTCACGGGCGCCGTGGGGGTGGGGCCGCTCTGATGGACAGAGCGGGGTGCGGGCTGGGCCGGCGGCGGGGACCTTGACCGCGGCGGTCGTGCGGGCTTCTGCGGCGCCCGCGGCGGGGAGGACCAGGTGCCGGCACCGTGCGGACGACACGCGCGTCTCTGCGGGGCTGCGCGGGGTCCGCGGAGCGGCTGGGGGCGCGCGGCGCGGGCGCGGCGCTGGGCGCGGGGGGCGCTCCCGGCCGGGATGAGCTCACCGCAGTCGCGCCGGGGCTGAGCGCCGAGCCGGGCGGCGGCGGGGCGGGCGGCGGCTCCTCGGCGGCTCCGCCGGGCCACCATGCTGGGCCTGGACGCATGTGAGCTGGGGGCGCAGCTGCTGGAGCTGCTCCGGCTGGCGCTGTGCGCCCGAGGTGAGCGGGCTGGGCTGGGGCCAGGGTGGCCACGTGGGCGGGGGTCTCGGGCGGGGAGGAGGGTGTCGGGGAGGCTTCAGCCTGGGGCGGGGGCTGGGCCTCCCCCCGCGGAAACTTTGGGGGCGCGCGTGGGGAAATCCTGGCGCGGTCCCCCTACTGGGCTCTGGCGGGGGTGGGGGGCTTCGTCCAGGCCAGACACTCGGGGGCAAAGGAGGCGAGAGTGGGCGGGTCTGTTTGTGAAGCCAGGGTGGCAGGGCGACCCTCTCCCCTTGGGAACCTGCCCCTGAGATCCCCTCTCCCTTGGGTGGGGCTGGAGCTCCTTCAGGGCGTGGGGTGATCCTTGAGAAGCCTGGAGCACAGTGGGAAAGACCCTGTCCCAGAACTGTGGGAAGGGGCTTAGAGAGACCCCTGCCCCAGGGCACCATGGGAAGGGGCTGTGAGTCTGAATGCGCCCAGGGAGGTAGCCCCAGAGCACAAGCTGAGGGCTTTAGAGAGCACCACCCTGACGCCCCAGGAGCACCACCGGGAAGAACCCCTAGGACAGGGGAAGGCATAAGGGGATGTGAAGAGGTGTGGTGAGCAGAGCCTCTGCTCTAGGGAAGACCTCGGAGGTCACCAGTCCACAATGGTGGCCTCCAGTCCGTGGGGCTAACCCCGTTTAGGGTCTTCCCCCGCACCCGCCCCATCTTTGGCCTCAGAGTCAGGGAGGAGCCATAGGTGGATGGCTGGGCCAGAGAAGGCATCTCTGCCTCAGGGATGTCACTTGGCTCCGTCTCAGGAGCCTTCTGCACCCCCCACGGGCCTCCCTAAAGGGTTCGGGTGTGGGTGCCGCTCGGTCTCTCCCCAGCCCGCCCCTGCCCCTGAGCGCACCCCCCTTCCCTGAGCCTCCATTGCTTCCTCGGAGTTCCTGTGGGCACTGAGAGGCACAGCTGGCCAGCCGGGGGGCCTCCAGTTTGACGTGTGAATGCCGGGTCAGCCGCTGGCCGCCGTTCACGCACCTCCCCAACCCCCAGTCCTCCTGACCGACAAGGAGGGGAGACAGCTGCCCCCTGACGAGGCCCTGGACGAGGCTGTGCCCGAGTACCGGGCCCCGGGGAGGAAGAGCCTGCGAGAGATCCAGCAGCTGGACCCGGAGGATGAGAGCCTGGCTAAGTACAAGCAGGCACTGCTGGGGCCCCTGCCGCCGGTTGTGGGTATGCGCCGCCCAGGGCTTGGGGGGCCGCCGGTTGTGAGTATGCGCCGCCCAGGGCTTGGGGGGCCAAGGGGGAGGGAGGCACTCCGGTGACTTCCTGTCTCTCCTCAGACCTGAGCCTGCCCAACGTGCAGGTGACCAGGCTGACACTGATGTCGGAGCAGGCTCCGGGGCCCATCACCATGGACCTCACAGGTACTGCCCCCCATGGGGCTCCTGGGGCAGGGTCTCCGCTCTCCCAGGAGGTCCTTCCCTAGCTGCCCTTTCCCCGACAGGGGAGCTGGCCGTGCTGAGAAACCAGGTGTTTGTCCTGAAGGAGGGTGTTGATTACAGAGTGAAGATTACCTTCAAGGTGAGGGCAGCTGCCCTGGGGGACACCTGCCAGCACAAGGTCAGCCCCCCAGAGGGGCCCTAACACCCTCTGTCTCTCAGGTCAATAAGGAGATCGTCAGTGGCCTCAAGTGTCTGCACCACACCTACCGGCAGGGCCTGCGCGGTGAGGGCGGCGAGGAGGGGCTGCTGGGGGAGGGGGGCTGTGGGGAGGGGCAGATGGGGCAGAGGGTGGCCCTTGACGGCCTCCCCCTCTCCTAGTGGACAAAGCCGTGCACATGGTGGGCAGTTACGGCCCGCGTGCCCAGGAGTATGAGTTTGTGACCCCGCTGGAGGAGGTGCCCCGAGGAGCATTGGTGCGGGGTGCTTACGTGGTCACGTCCTTCTTCACCGATGACGACAGGACGGACCACCTGTCCTGGGAGTGGGGCCTCCACATCTGCCAAGACTGGAAGAGCTGAGCGCCCCCCGCCCCAGAGACCGTCCTCCCACTTGGAGTCCTGCTTTTCCCCGCCCCTCCGTCGTGATCACACCCCCCGCCCACACCCTCTGCTCCGTCCTGGGATGCCCCTCCCTGGGCTGGTACTGTGCCCTGAACAGTCCTATTAAAGTCGCCTTGTCTCAGTGCCCTGGGTGTCGCTTCTGTCTGCCTCCCTCCCCTGGGGGCGGGGTGGGGGGGGGGCCTTGCGGCCTTATCTTCCCAGGACTGGGACTGGGTGCCACGTGGCAGCTGCGGCTTGGCCCCCGGCCCCCTTATCTGCCCCCTGCCTCGTGGGCCCGGCACTGCCATGGACGGCCAGCTCCCACTCGAGCTGCTGCTGCTGCTGTTGCTTGCGGCCTCCGGCCTGCGGGGACAGGGCCCGGGGCCCGGAGGGCCTGAGGAAGAGCCCCCTGAGGAGGTGGTCCCCGAGGAGGATGGGATCTTGGTGCTGAGCCAGCGCACCCTGGGCCTGGCCCTGCGGAAGTACCGCACCCTGTTGGTGCAGTTCTGTGAGTGCACCGGGCCCGTGGGCTGGGGGACCCACCAGGGCCGCCCAGGGCGTTCAGCTCCCCATCCTGTGGACTCACGAGAGGCTTCCCCAGTGAGCCCTCGGCGCCCACGGTGCTCCTGGAGCTCCACCAAAGGGCATGGGAAGCAAGGCCCAGGACCGAGCTGGCTGGGGGGAGGGGGTCCAGCTGGAGCGGGGGAGGGTGGGACTGGGAGGAGGTGCAGGTGCAGGGAGGCTCCTTGATCACGGCCCAGCTGCAGACTCTCTGCCAGGGCCAGGGCCGGAGAGCATCCAGGCCTTGTTTGCTTTTCGGTAGATGTTCACGAATTTCTCCACGTGGGCCATTCCCAGGTCGCAGGCGTCCACGAGCAGACAGGTGGCCAGGGTGCGGGCCTCAGGGAGCAGCAGCTGGAGGACTTTCCTCCGACACGCTGTCAGGATGGCGCTGGCCACGGCGCCCCAGGCCTGGGGCCTTGAGGAGCCCGGCTCTGGTGTGGAGGCTCAGACGGGCCCCCGAAGGAGGGAGGTGTGTGGACAGGAACGCTCCTGCCAGACACGACTGACCCCAAGGTCTCCCGGCTCTGGCTGGGCGGGAGCAGAGGAGCTAAGGCTGGGGCCTCGGAGGCCGGGGACACTTGTGACCCTCTCCCCCAGATGCCCCATGGTGTGGGCACTGCAAGGCCCTGGCCCCTGAGTACAGCAAGGCAGCTGCCGTGATGGCGGCAGAGTCTGCCAAAGCCAGACTGGCCAAGGTGGACGGGACCGCCGAGACGGAGCTGACCCAGGAGTTCGCTGTGACGGAGTACCCCACGCTCAAGTTCTTCCGGGACGGGAACCGCACACACCCAGAGGAGTACACTGGTACAGGCGGCAGGCAGGGGCGGGGGGGAGGGGGCGCTGGGCTGGACCCGGGCTGAGCGGACGCTTCACAGGCCCCCGAGAGGCCGACGGCATCGCCGAGTGGCTGAGGCGGCGGCTGGGGCCCAGTGCCACCCGGCTGGAGGACGAGGAGGGCGCCCAGACCCTGATAGATGGCCAGGACGTCGTCGTCATCGGCTTCTTCCGAGTGAGCTGCTACCCTTGGGGTCTGGGCTGCAGGAGCGGGGCCCGTGCTGCCAGCCGACCTCACAGCTTGGGCTCCTTAGGACCTACAAGACGAGGACGTGGCCACCTTCCTGGCCCTGGCCCAGGACGCCCTGGACATGACCTTTGGCCTTACTGACCAGCCAGAGCTCTTTCAGAAGTTCGGCCTCACCAAGGACACTGTGGTTCTTTTCAAGAAGGTGCGGCACGGGGCCAGGGTGGGTGTTGGGGGTCGGGGTTGTGGCTCCCACTGACCTGGCCGGTGCTGTCCAGTTTGACGAGGGTCGGGCCGACTTCCCGGTGGACGAAGAGCTGGGCCTGGACCTGGGGGACCTGTCGCGGTTCCTCCTGGTGCACAGCATGCGCCTGGTCACGGAGTTCAACAGCCAGGCAAGTGGGGCGGTGGGAGCCGGCGCCGGGCTGGGGGCGCGGCCATGGGAGCCGGCCCCGTGAGCTCGGCCTGCCCCCGCAGACGTCGCCCAAGATCTTCGAAGCCCGGATCCTCAACCACCTGCTGCTGTTCGTCAACCAGACACTGGCCCCGCACCGGGAGCTCCTGGCGGGCTTTGGGGAGGCAGCGCCCCCGTTCCGGGGACAGGTACTGGCTGGGCTGGGGGGCAGGGGCTAGGGCGGGGGGGCCGCCCAGCACAGACTCCCTGTCGGCAGGTGCTGTTCGTGGTGGTGGATGTGGGCGCCAGCAACGACCACGTGCTGCAGTACTTCGGTCTGAAGGCCGAGGAGGTCCCCACCCTGCGCTTCATCAACATGGAGACCACCAAGAAGTACGCGCCTGCGGCTGGCGGGCCGGTCACCGCGGCCTCTGTCACTGCCTTCTGCCACGCGGTCCTCGGTGGCCAGGTCAAGGTGGGCTGCTGAGCGGCCGCCCGGGGAGCAGGGGTGGGAGCAGCGGCTGTCAGGAGAGACCCCCAGTGGAGCACCCGGCCCGCTTCCCCCCAGCCCTATCTCCTGAGCCAGGAGCTCCCCCCTGACTGGGATCAGCGGCCGGTCAAGACCCTCGTGGGCAAGAATTTTGAGCAGGTGGCTTTCGATGAAACCAAGAATGTGTTCATCAAGTTTTGTGAGTCTAGAAGGCGATGCGTGGTGGGCAGTGGGCGGGGGGGGGGGGGGGGCCTGCCCGCTGCGCCAACAAACCACTGCCTTAGACGCCCCGTGGTGCAGCCACTGCAAGGAAATGGCCACGGCCTGGGAGGCCCTGGCTGAGAAGTACAAGGACCATGAGGACATCATCATTGCGGAGCTGGACGCCACAGCCAATGAGCTGGAGGCTTTCCCTGTACACGGCTTCCCTACCCTCAAGTACTTCCCAGCGGGGCCGGGTCGGAAGGTGAGCCCAGACCCTGTCTTCCCAGGTCTGGAGCTTGGTGTGCGCGCTCCTCAGGCCGGGGACCAGACGTGAGGTGGGGCCTCCAGCGGCAGGGCCTGGGGGGGGCGGGGGGGCGGGCAGAGGGCGGAGCCTCAGGTGGGCGGGGCCCAGATGATGGAGGTTTGGGGCGGGGTGCAGGCAGGCCTTGGGCTTAGAGGTAGGGCCTCGCTTGAGGGTGGAGCCTCCGGGGACGGGGGTGACGTCACCTGCCAGGGTAGGACAGGGTGGGTATTTTCTCCAGAACCCGGTGTTCCTCCTTAGGTGATTGAATACAAAAGCACTAGGGATCTGGAGACCTTCTCCAAGTTCCTGGACAACGGGGGCCAGCTGCCTGCAGAAGAGCCCACAGTCCCCGTCCCGGTGGGTGCCCCTGCCCCAGGGTTGCCCTTCTCTGCACCAGGCCGGCATGGGGCCCTGCGGTGGCCAGGGGCAGGGGTGAGCCAGGGATGCAGCTTCCAGCCAGGCCTCTGTGACCCTTTCCAGGAGACAGCGCCCAACACCAGCACGGAGCCCAAAGAGGAGCTGTAGCCGCCCCCACACTGCCGTCAAGCCCCCAGAGCAGAGCCCTGGAAGCCGGGCAGAGAATAAAGAGCTTTGGTCCCGGACTGTGTGTGTGGTTCCTGTGCACCCCGGGCTGTCAGGCCCTTGGGCTTGCCCAGTTAGCCTCCTGGGGACCATTCCTTCTGGAGCCGGACCTCGCTGTTCTGGGTGGATCCCTAACTCAGATCCGGGTCTGGAAACCCAGCCCTCTCCAGAGCTCTGTCCCCGTGCTCCAGAAGACACCCCCTCCCACACACACTCTCGACCCTCAGAAGCCTGGCGTGAAGCTGGCCGAGGACCGCAAGCCCACCAGCCAGGCCCCACCACAGAACACAGGTGCACTCCTGCCAGAGAAGGTTCAAAAATGATTTTATTTCATTATTATCCAAGTACCTTTGAAAAGATAATTGTACAAGTCAGCGCATGAAAAATGGGCTGGGGCAGCCCCCCACTGGCCCTGGCCTGAGAAATGTACATATTTACAAGGGCCCTTAGAGGGGAGGGGCCCGGGACCCGCTGAGCCGACGCCCTGGACACAAGGGTGGAGGAGGGCGAGCGCTACGGGGCTCCGTCGCTGGATCCACACAGTGGCAGGCAAGAGACAAGCTGTGTTGAAGGCACTCGGTGACATGTACAGTTGACAGAGGACCCCTTGGGGCCCCTGGCACCCCAGGCCTAGGCCGGGCCGGGGCAGGGTGTGTCGGACCCGTCCCAGAGCGAGGGGCATAGCCTGCGGTGCGAGCGCCAGAGCACGGAGCAGTGAGCAGCGGGCGCCACTGGAGAGGGCACTCGAGGCCGCCCCGTGGCAGGCTCCCTGCTCCGCCGGCCGCTCCAAGGATCACTGAGCAGTGGGCGGGGCCCCCTCCTCGTCAGCTGCAGGATGGAGGCCTGTGGGGCCGCTCGGAGGGACCCCCGGCCAGCTGCGGGGCGGGCAGCACCTGGCCTTTGACCGCGGCCGTGTGTCTGCACACACGGGAAGCACACAACACGGCACGACCCTCGGACGCTCGCCGCGCAGAGGCCGGACTGGCCCGTCAGTCTACCTTCTCCACCTTGCCGATGATCTTCTCCTCAAACACGGGCAGCACCATGTCGTCTTCCCGAACCTCCTCAAACACCACACCACAGTCAAACTCATCGCTCACTTTCTTGAAGTAGTATCTGCGGGACAGGGGGAGCGGGAATGAGGGCTCCCCCCAGCCCCGTGTGCACGGCAGGCCCTGCGGCCCAGCTGCTGGGGGGTCACAATGAGCACAGATACACACGGGGCCCTCACCTGTAGTTGCCTTTCTTGGTGAGCAGCTCCTTGAACTGGCCCAGGGTGACGGCACGGCCCCGCACCAGGGTCCTGTAGGGGATGGGCTCCCCGCAGAAGTAGTAGGCCACCACGATGCTGTCACACGGCTGCACACTCCCACTGCCCGCCTTTCTCTGGGACTTCGTCCTGGAGGTGGAGGCGCACTGGTGACTGCTAGGCTCAGGGTCCCAC